TTAAAATCCACAGTCTAAGTACTGAACCCCTCTGCCTCTGCCCCCACAGGGTGCTTTCCCACCTGGCACATCAGATGCCTTAGTGCCGACCTCTCCCACAGGGTCCGAGGAACAGCCTTAAGGTCCTCCCCTCCCCACCCCACATTCAGCCAATCCCCAGATTCCGTCTTGTCCCCCTTAGCTCCATCTTCAGACTCTCGCTTCTTCTCTGTCCCGGCTAACAAAGGAACCCCAGTCCTCCACCCTTCTAAACAAGGATCTCTTGTCTTGAAAAGATCTCCCTCTTCTCTACAAAACTCCATCTTCCTCCCTAAGCCTCCCCTGGCCCTCCGGGTCAAGGAGCCCACTCTCGCTCGGGCTCCTGCCGGACCGTAGGGCCATCACTCAGAGCCCTGCCCAGCAGAGCGTTCCACAGTGATGGGACACCCCACGTCTGGACTAATTCTGAACCGCAGTCACATGCGGCTGCTGAAGCACTTGGGGTGAGGCCAGTGTGGCTGAACAAGTACATTTTAAAAGCTATTTGGTTTTAGCTCATTTAATTTTACACTGACACTATGATGAGGAGCTACTCAGCCCAGTTTCCCTGTCACCCCCCCGCCCCGCCATGCCACCAGCTCCTGCAGCCTTCCCCACCATCTCCCTCCCACGCAGACCCCAGGGCCACTCACCTCGCCAAGGCTGCCCCTGTTCCTAGCTTGCCCAGGAGACTTGTCCCACGTGAACCACTGCGCTCTGCCTGCCCCTGTTCCATGCTGACCCTGGACAGTGCAAATCAGAAGCATGTCACCTCCCTCCTGCAGGCTCTTCCTACACCCCCGGCCAGGCGAGCTGAGCTCTCTGTGCTTTGAAGCTCAGCCCTACTCCACCCCACCCGCTGCTGTCCATAGCTCTAGTTAATAGCTGCCCCTCCCTCCTATGCACCCATGGCAGGGACTCGCCTCTGTAGTCCAGGCTGGACGGACCCCAACCCATACTCCAGACCCCTGACCAGCCTTGCGGGGGCCTTTGGAAACCATACGGCCCATTAGGTGGCCTTAGAGCTACCTTCCTAAGAAAACAAAGGGAAGATACAGTCTGACAGCAACAGATGGTGAGAAAAAAAGAGGACCCACGGTAAAAAACAAACAAGCATTTCCCTTTCCTTTACCACAGGGCTATGAAGTGTTATCAGCAGATCTTAAAATATGCTAGAAAACTAAGCACAGACCTAGGACCCGCCACCAGTGAAAGGCTGTCCCGAGGGCTGGAAGAACTGCAGATGATGCTTACAGCTGAAGCTCTGGAAAGGGAACCAAGGAAAGAAAAGCCCTGGCCCTCTACGGCTATGCTCGAGCCAGCGGACAGACCAGGACTGGGCAGCACTGGGAATGCTGGCCGCCAGGTAGACAGGCGAGCCTGACTTCTCTGTACAGGTCATTTCTGAATTCCATCAAAATGTCCAATCAGCCAACACAGAGGTAAGAGGACCCAGAGTGCAGGTGTGTCCAGGAGTGTTTGCAACAGCTGGTGCCCAGCAAGGACTCATACTCTGGGAGCTGAATTCCTGGGGACAGTTTGGGCAAACACTGTACATGAACTGGAACCAACTCCTCCTGGGGAGTTTGCTACCCACCCTCCCATGCTAAGTGCTCGGCCAGCACACCCGTGACCAGAGCTGTTTCTCAGTGACCACCAACCGCATGGATGAGTGAAGGCCTGGTGAGCGCACGCACGAGGGCCGTGGGCCTGACTCTCAGGCATCCTGGCTGTCGGCAAGAACTACGCATGTCGTCGGACCACAGCCTCAGAGAAGATCCAGCACCGAGAGCTAGCAGGGCAGAAGGCGTGTCCCATGGTAGGAGACAGACGTAATCCCGGCCCTCCAGCAGCTCGAGCGGGGCTGTAGAAGTGCATTACTCTCCTCTGTGTGGGTTTATTTATACACAGAGCTGACTGCAGACACATAAATACACATGCACATGGGCAGAATGTGAGTTTACGTCTCTTTTGCTGCTGCTCTTGTGTGTGTGTGTTTAATGATCATAATACCATTTTGAAAACTAAACGTGCCTGACTTTCCTTCCAGCAGCATTCTGCTCAGGGTTGAACAGCGGCTTCCACGGAATCCAGACAGTCAGCGTCGGCTGGGGAATTAGGCTCCATGCTCAGTACAATAAAAGACCCCAAGATAAATATATACGCATCGTTAATCCTGGATGGTCATGTACCCTTTTCCAATACAGAACCAGGGGAGTCCGGTTCTGTTTAGTTTGTCTGATTGCTTTTAAGAGGGGGACGGGTTGGTTTTGGAAAACTATGGTTCTCTATTCATTAATGTGTCAATACAGCTCAGGTCAGGCATATCGACGGCGGATTAGCTTGGGCTGAGTCTGTGAACAAGCCCAGCACCTTTTTTAACCCAGCTTGTCTCCAGATCAATACACCCATCAGCATCTGAAAATTAGCCCAAGATGAGATTCCAATACTTGAGGTGCTGTGTCATGCTAAGAGGGCACCTCGCCAACTCATGGATGGAAACACCTAGCTGGGGATTAGACATCTTACATTAGCCTGGACATGAGCGAAAACCGATGCGGACCCCATCCCCTCGCTTCCTCCCT